ACTACATGATTTAGCGGTTTATAATAATGAATGTTGAACATTATTAGTCTGGACCGGAAATACAAGAATGAATTACCAAGACTGAACTAGGGAAGTAAGTCTATATTTTATTAGGTCAACATTAGAATCTAAATAAACTATGCTATGAGGCGATCAAAAAAATAAGAATATGTTTTCGAGATCTTATAATCTATCAATGCTGGACAGATCACATATTAACATACCCTTTTCAAGTGGTCCAAAAATGGCCTGCAATCTAAACAAAAAACAATAAATGAACATAACAGTTGTATAGGCATACATGCAATTATTATTATTATCGTATGGAACTTTATTGAATGTAAAATCATTATAACTATAATATATTATTACTGATACTAGTTAATAGGAAAATTAGAATAACAAATAAATAACTTCAAAGAACAAGTATAAACTATAGATTATAGAATACAAATAGATAAGTAAATAAGTAAATAGGTGAGTACAGTAAGGCAACAGATATACTGCGTAGTCTTTGGTACTAGAATGCGTTGACGTCGGCGTCGGATATTTCCTCTTTGTGCACTCACTTACTATGTGTTCCATCGTTTGCCTGTCTGCACCATAATCGCATTTAGGGCCTGCCTTGATTTACTGTTTATGCAATAAACAATCCTATGACACTGTCTGGAAACATTTCCCTCAAGCTAGCAATTAAAATACCCTGCCAACGCTAATTAAGATACTTAGGAAACAGCAGGACAACAGAAACTTTAAAGAAATTTTGTGTAATAGAGTCAGCAAATCCCGCGTACTTAACAATAGCCTGCCACAGGGGTCAGTTCTACCTCCGACACTCTTTAACATCCACACCCACGTCATCTCCCAAGTACAATATCTAAGAAATTTGTCTATGTTGATGATATATGCATAGCAACGCAATGCAAATATTGTGAAACATTAGAACAAACCCTAAAAGAAGATCTTAATGAAATAGAGAACTACTTTAAAATGTGGTGACTAAAACCAAATCCTTTTTGAAAACTGCAGTATCCTTGTTTTATCTTAACAACAGGGCGGCTAACCAAGAGCTCACAGTCAATTTTTGTGGCCATCGAATAAAGCACGATACGTGTAATTGGACTGAAAAATAGCGATAGCGTGTCACGGGACAAGTAAAGCGATTATTATTAAACCCTTCAACCCGTCAACGTTATTGAAATAAATCTCGTTGGCGAACAAATTATTTTCACGTTTTTCGTCTTATCTCCGTCTCCCACACCATAATGTTTATTAAGGAGTATCGCACAATTCTGTCACTTCACGTAAGTTATTATTTCAGACTGCCAGACTGTTCAGACAGAAACCAGTTGCGGTTGGTTACCTAACGTAGGTACCGTTTCTGTCGGTTTTAATATCTACACGTACCTACACATAATTTTCCGGTATTTCGTTACGATTCGGCAGCACAATATAACTCAAGGGCGAAAAAGTATGGTATTCGACAAAAAGTTCAACAGAAAACAGTCGTGTAATGCTCGATAGTTTTTTTTTTATTATATATATACACTTTTACGCGTGCGAAGAACAGACATACCTAATAACATTGCGAACCAGTAATGTAAATAAGCGTTTTTTTTTTTTGAAAAATGTGCATTGAAAGTTTTTTCATTATTACCGACCGAAACACGCAAGGCAATAAATAAAAAAAACTAAGGGTACCAGAATGGCTATAATATTATATCTGTATAATAATAATAGAAAATAAAAAAGTTTTGTTTGCCTATCTGTACTTTGTATATGATCCACAGCTAAATTTATCGCACGCGGAGATATACCATTTTACACACAAAAGCGGATAAACGGGTCCATGATGTGCACCTCAAAACCGGATTTCCGAAATTGAACCTCTAAAAGATGGCTACTCAGCGTTTTTGGTATTTTGGAATGAAAATCAAATTATTTTTGTAGATTTATGGGTATAAATAATTATAAATGGATTAATTTATTATAGATATCCAGGTGACATGGATTTCACACAAAACAGAAAAGCGTTTTAAATCTATGATTTTGTACAGGAATTATATAGATGGAAAAATAAAGAATAGGGTGGCACGGGGAAGTAGAGACATGTTAAATTCAATTTTTGTTGTTGATTTCGGTGTTTGTAAGGATTTTTTTTAAAATTCTGCTTTTAATTGGTCAAACATAAAAAAAACGAATTAAATTGGCATGGGCGACACCGGACAGAATGGCTGTTGGTTTATAGTAGATATAATAATATTAGGTAATATGTCATGTGTTTGAAATTCATAAAGTCGCACATCATAAATTTAAGTCTCATAAATGTCATGTGTTATAAAAGTTATTTCTCATAAAATTATTAAAAATAAAAACACAGACAAATTGAAATTGATATGTTATAAAAATAAAATATGAATAAACTTAACCAAGCACAGGAAAATTGTAAGTATTGTAAATATTTTCCTCATTTTCTATATTAGATTTCTATATGAAAATAATTGTTTTTGTCATTGGAGTACATCCTTATCGTTTAGTCGTTTCATCTACATTTTTAATTGGTGCGACGCAATACCCAGTTTATTATTTTTCATTATATTGTTTCTACAACACAATTAAAATTTATATTATTTAAGTTCTATATAAATGTATCCGTGGAATACAAAAAGAGCAGAGGGAAACAGAAGTTAACGTAGAACGCTTAATAACAACGATTTATTGACAATTTATTTTTTATAACAAATTTCATTTTCTCTGAGTTTTTTTTTCTACAACTTAATTTTATACTTTTATAACATATGACTTTTGTGAGACTTAAATGTTTGATATCCGACCTTATGACACATGACTTTCTAATACTTGACTTTAATTTTAATATTATACCTACTATACAAACTAACGTTATCATTAAAAACGGACATACTTTGCACAATGTGTGTGCCACTGGTATAGGTGAGACATTGGCAAAGTAGCGGGGTAGTTTAATGTTTATCTGTACGAAACGATTAATCATTGATAACGTAAAACGGTTCTGAGCGGTGTTCGGTGATACATGATTTGAAAGGCCGTAATATTTATGATTTGAAAATAATAAATTTCGTAAATTTTCCAGTTTTTACCGTTTATTATGAAAACTCCTGGAAAATTAGTCAAAAATGACCACCATAAAGTGCTACTCCACAAAAATTTCCTATCAAAAAAGCTGCTACACTTGAAAATCAAAGTAAAATTTTCGGTAGAAAGTTATTCACGGGAAAAAAAATAAACATCATTGTACAACCATTCTGAAATTTGTTGCCTTGCTATTCTGTGTTATGAATGAATAGTGATAATAATTATTGCATTATTGTTCGATTTACTTTGATAATAATTATTGCAATATATTTCTATAGGTTTACGATAGTAACTCTGTATATTGTTCTTCCCCCCCCCCCAAACCTTAAAGAACATCACGACAATGTTAATATCATGCAATATTTGTGCATCACAGCCACAAAAAAGCCTTTCAGTGCCTTTAGCCGCACACAAATTCCCCCTCTTAAATAGCCTACTAATTTACGTTCCAACATTATATTTCTACTATGTATTAATTCTGAGTTTTATGCACATTTTTTTCGGTTTACGATCTTGGCCTGAACCAGTGTTTGCCGAGCTCTAGCTACAGCTATGTCTGTGAGACTTCGGATCGACACGGATTATAAATACAATAGTATCATTCGAACGCTAACTTTATATTTTACGCGTTTTCTTATTTTAACATTCATAAGCTGCGGCGATATATTAGTTGTAAACTTATTTAATTTGTCCGAAAAACAAAATCGTGACTTATTTATTAATTTCGGTCGAGGGTAATAATTACTATACGAAAAGTTGTGTAGACAAGCGGTAGCGGAGCGTCTGTGTTCGTATATAAACGGCGTTCTCGTTTTATTTCGTATAATATAATTGTTTTTTTTTTTTTTATTATTATTATTATTAACGTGCCACTGTCCTGTGCCGTAATGCTATTATATTATGACCGTCAATAATTAACGTTATTATTGTTTTCGCGCTTTTGAATTAAATGCATGATTTCGTTTATTTTCTGGTTATAACAATATAACATATACTGAACCGTTCTAGCGAAACGCGTCGTAAAATATACTTAACGCCGTAATAAAACGACGTTGGTATTTAAATTTAAAAATAAAAATATGCAAATTATCATACTTGGTCCGTTTTATCGAAAATTTATAGCAAACCATCATGCAATATTAGGTAGGTTTACCGTAAAAGCTTTTATGAAAGTACATAATATATGATTTAAATGATTTAATGGAATCACAATATTGATATGGCCAGAAAGTTACAAAATATAGTAAGTGTAGCCAATATCCATCTAGACAATAAATTTTAGTGTTTAGGAAACACGATTAGAACGTACGAGAAGTAAAAAAAAAGTTCCAGGTTGACAGGTTGACGAAGGCTGAATTCAGTAAAAAATGCATTTTATTCGCATTCGAGGAATTAAAAATCTCATCAACAAGAAGAGATGATAAGCCTGTGACATATGGGCGTAATACTTAGGTCATAAACTAATCGGGAAGGACGTTATCAAAACCATTGGGAATGCAGTGCTGGAAACGCATACAAAAGATTTTCAATGTGAAAAACCAACAAAATTGTACTCGGAATAGTCGGTTATTAATACTGGTGATGAAAGCTCATTAACGGGTTCTACTAAACTATTAAAGAGAGAAGGTGAAAAGTGATAAGATACCTTAAATTGCTAAATAGTATTTAATTATAAAAATGAAAAGACCTCGTAATTCGTTCATTGGTCAAATCAAGAAATACCTACGTGAGAGTCAAAAGCTATAACAATTTAAACAAATTTCGAATGGAGAAAATATGGGTTGAAAAAAATAATATTATTTATTTTGTTAAGTTTTTGCGTTGTTAGTAGACTGGTAATATTGGGAATTGTTTGAAATTATCATTTTTTTTACCAAGTAAGTATTTTATATCAATTTTTGGAATTTGAGAGTACACTTGCAGTCATGTATTCTTCTTCTTTCTGTCTTTATGACTCTCCAAAAGTCTTTGCCACCACTGCCAGAGCTTTCCTGTAATTACGCGTAAAATACAAATAAATAAATAAAATGGTTCGGGTCTACTTCACTATGTTAATACTTCACTGTTCGTACAGGTAGAAATTCTAAATTGGTATATCAATGAATCCCTTGGCATTGCAAGAATACGTAACGACAACTTTTTCCAATTTGAAACTATTCCAACAAAGTATTGTACTGTTATCCTATGACTAGAACTGCAAAATGTATTAGCATTATTGAAAATATTTTAAACTATAATATAAAACCTGATTAAGGTAAACTAGAAATGTTACTGAAAATTCCATCGGTTATCAAGAATGCATACATCATCCACGTAACTCACTACGTACGTTATTAAAATTTTAGTTTTACTTCGTTTTTTGTTTTACTCAGAACCGACGTAATGACAAACTATAAAGTAAATCACTGGAATGGTAGAAAATGCCTGAAGTTTTGTTACGGTATTTTTAGGACTTGACTTCATGTAAATACTTCGGCATTTAATTATAGTTTCAATAATCGTCTGATAACGGCCGACATTTTTAAAACAATAACTTTGGTAATAGGAACCAATAAATAATATTATAAATATTATTTTTTTATTTTTTTATTCATATATTCGATCCATCGATGTGGTACTTTTCCATGAGAAAACTGAGCAGTGCGTAAACCGTCAACAAATTTCTTGATATTCACAAGCATATTTTAAGAAAAATACTCGGACAAAAGCTAGAATTTGAATTTATAACAATTGTATTAAGTTGTATTTAATTTATGTAGGTATTATTATAAAAAAAAAAAACACACAAAATATTGACATTTGTATGCAGAGTAAGTTGGAAAATATCAATTAAATATTTTTGTTGACCAACAAAAAAAAAATTTTCTCAAGAATAATAAAATAATTTAGAAATTGTTTAGAAAAAAACAAGTAATAACATATTATATTTTAAAAATATAATTAATTTCTAAATGCTATGTGGGCCGATTTAATTTGTTCTATTACTGATAAATTTATTGTAGTTAGACTATTGATTTGATGAAACATTGAATAGTCGTTATAATGATACTCTATTTCCATGTCCAACACAATTTTCTAATAACACCTACTAAACGCCTAAAATAATATAAAATAATGTTCATTAAAAATTCAATAAATAATACAAATGCAATCATGTTGTCCAATAATTTTTTATCACGTTAACTGAGTAATTAGCTATCTAATCGAAATTATTTCTGAATAGGTATAATTTATTTTTACAATAGATACTAAAAAATATAGCCTTTGTATGTAGGTTAATTTAAAATGTGCGTCTCTGATGTAACCGATTAGCTAGTTCTCTAAAAAAATAAATACGTAATTAATGCATTATTATAAATTGATAATAATTTATCCGGTTGATATTTTGAGGTTTATTTAAATAAAATTTAGGTACCTAATGTTGTTTTTTTTTTCTTTTTTGGTCGTCGTCATCACGTCATAATAATAAACATATGACATGAACATCGGTCTTCATCAAAACTCTTTTTGACGACTATTTACTAATGTTCAATATACTTCCATATTTTCAAATGCGTAAACCGTGGTTAATAATATCTCTGCAAAAGAATTGAACCGCTGCCTCAGAAAAAGTTATTGGTTACTACCGGCCACTGTAAGAAAAGTTAAAATTGTAAAATAATCATTTGTTAATAATATTATCTCGATAAATCTCTTAATTTTTATAATAATAGTAATTTACTTGTTTTTCACGAGGTGATTTACTTGTGCTTCAATCGATAAAAATAGCACAAACATCGAATTGTTTCGAATTCGTGTATAGTGTACATAATTTTCTCTATTATTCAACTCATAAAATCTGGACAAATCGTTCCTTTATCACATAACTTACCAATGAATCTAATAACCATTATAACAATTATTATTTTTATTATCATGTTATTGTTTATGCTATTATATAACATATTGTCTATACAATTATAATATGTATTATATACTTGTAGACAATTGTTAATATTTCAAGCTGTATTTTTTTAATTTCAACATTTCTAAGAAGAAATTGTTTCCAGACAAATTTATCTAAATTAATAATAGCATGTATCAATAAGTATATACAGAAATTAATTATTGAATCCCTCCGTGAGTTTCTGAACTTTAGAATTAATTTTTTGTACTTTGCATAAATACTCGTAGAATACGCTGTGCAATTTCTTTTGCATTAGTTGCGTAAATGTCATACCAATTGCTTGATTTATTCCGAAATTCACTCGCATAAATTTTAAACGTAAACATAGAATTACGCAGGATTTCGGGGAGCGTTGGTTAATTACCTATAATACAGAAATTTAAATGAGAAGAATAAAAATAGACAAATTAATAAAAAAAAAAAAAAAATCTGATACTGGTGACGAGTGTAGCCAGTGTTGTAGGTGGCTAGTGAGGAAGGTGTAATACATTTAGTTATCCAATTTATACCTGTAACCAACGATAAACTATTGATAACGAAAAAAAAATTCGGAATGAAGTTCGGTTATACGTGTTTTGAAAATCCGTAAAATTACTAAAATTATTTTCGTCAAGATTTGATTTTAAAACTTATAAAAATAAAAATACTACATTAGAATCAATTTTATATTTCGAAACAAAATGCATTTGTTTTTTCCCCATTACCTATTTGACGTGGTTTTACGGGTTTGAACCCGAGTTTTGTGCAAAAAGAGTTTTAAGTACAACCACTAGACAATATTGAGTTATTTTAACATAACAAATATAATGTCCGCATACGATTAGAGCTTCAAAACGCTATGATTTCGAAACTAAATTCTGACTCTATTATCGTTGGTTAATCGGCAATAGGTTTACATATGATTAAAAACATGCTTACAGATATAGGAACATTAAATTTCCCTTCTACTACTTTCCTAATTTCATACCTATAGCTGCACCCGTCCCTATTATTCATGGACAAATTTAAAAATTCTAAATGGAGCGAAAAGCCTTGTGGTTTTACAAAGATGTTTATATTTTTTTTTCATCTATGCGCAACTTTTCTACTAGAAATCTTCCTCCGACTTTTAAGTGTAGCGCTTTTTCTGGAAGGAAGTCAGTGTGAGGAGGTACTTCAATGAAGTCATTTTTTTATTTTCTCAATAAATGTGAAAAACCAAAAAAAAAAAAAAAACGGGAAAATATACGAAATTTCATCAACTATAATGTAAATAATACCAAATGTTGTATAATATATATATATACTAATAATGAAATACTGTGACTGGTGATTGGGGATTGGTGGCGATCAGTTGTTTTAACCAAAACATACTAGTCTTTTGTCCGTCATACCGTTCGACCTAGAAATGAGATGATAATACTTTTTAAAACTGATTTGAATTTTCGATTATATATACTTGAGATCGGTCGGTTCACTTTTCCAAATTTTACCCACCTCCAACTCTTATAAAGGTACGTAAAAGTTGTTAGTGTTTGGTTTTTCTAGAAAACTATAATGTCTAGACTTCGAGATTTAAATTCGGAACAGAAATGCGAGTTGTTAATTATACTGTACTGTTGATTACTAGTGCAAGTTACTCGACGCAAAAAAGCACACGTCTATAAATACATATTTTATATAAGATATACATTTTTTATTTTATTTTTCATATAATTATCCTTTTTTTTTTATATCATATATATATATATTTTTTTTTTCAATAAATAAAACCAATCGCTTGTTATAAACAATCGGTGTTAATTGATACATTTGACACATCGGTCCAAAAGTGTTCCTATCAAGCGGCTTCTACTGTATTTTCCTATGTAGAATAATAACAGTTAATTGTATATGTGTATAAATAATAAACTATATTTACCTCTTTCGTGAGTATTCTATACCGATACGTACTGAAAACGAGTCCAGATAGGTCTTGTCAAAATGGATTAGAGCAGTTTTGGCTTCTTCTTGGATTTGATACGTTATTAATGCAAAGCAGCAATTATTTTTTTCGTAAGTAAATACAAGTCGAATATTCGTAACGTTGCCTTTTTGACTAAACATTTCCATTAAATCCGTTTTGGTTATCTATAAGTATATAACGAAAACAGATTGAACGACATTTTCACGGTATTTAAATATTGAATAGGTTATCGTGCTCACGGTGTCTGGTAAATTATTTGCGATTAAGCACGACATATTTTCTATAATGTTGTATTTTCAGAATCAAGTACAAGAAACCGGACTAAAGGTAAAATATAATCTAGCTACAAACTCACGTCTCGTGGTCCACACAAAACAGATTGTACGATATATTACCAGTAACAGAATAATAATTTACGTTTGAAATATCAACACACAACTAAATATTCAATCTGTTTGAATCATACCTACCTACTTACCCACTCAATAATATTACTCGCATTGGTTTATCAGTTCATGCATACGCATACTATGTTATCTTATAATAGGCGCACTAATTCGTTGCCGACTGCTATAAACTTTAATACTGTTATAATAATAATGTAGTTGAAAATAATTTTTCGGCAGATAAAAACAGAAAACAATTATATAGCAAATGTTTTAGTCGCGCCAAGAGCAATATTGTAATAATTACGATATTATAATTATTATAAGTTAAGCTCATTTATTTAAAAGCCAAACAATTCAATGATTGTGCATTGTTAGATTCTGAGGGCATTGAAGAGCTGGGGGTATTGGTCTTACTAAGGTTACTAAATTTTTCGTCTGTAAACAACTTTTCTACCAGGAATCTCGTTCCGACTATCAACTTCGGAGGTGGTTTTCTGGTTAGTGATCCTTTTGGGAAAATAAAAGAGGAGGGACTAAAAGACTTAAAATCAAAATTAACATACCATGCAAATTTTTACTAAAGGTAACCTAATAATCTATAACAATTTTCAAAATACGACTCGTATTTATACTCGTATTCTAATAATTGTTTGGTTATTTATAGGTATTTGAAAGTTTTGATATTTTAGGTTTTTATTTGGCTTTATGTAAATAAAAATTGTTTTGACCCATCGAAAATATCCAAATATATAATGGAAGATTTATTGTGAGTGGCTAAAAACAAATTTGAGCGTAACTTTTTTAGATTCTAGCGAAGCGAAGAATATATTGGTTTTAAAATGATGTTTATTAGCCGAACGCGATACGACTGTCATTTTAATAACAGTATAACGTTGATGGAGTACGGTCCTCCTAACACTCATTTAATCCTCACTAATTCGTCAGTAATCTGAGCTCTTTATATAATATACTAAAATGACATAATGGGATATCCCGTTTTGTATACCCTTTACTCGTATGTCCCATCCATCATAACCGCGTATGACGTGTCGCATTCGAAGCAATTGACACTGGTTAAAAAAAAAACGAGATGGTTGAGATTTGTAACTATTATGTGTGCTTGGTGTTAATATACTGCAGTTTTACTAGGTATATGGTTTAATATTTCGTTTCCTGTATAGGTACATATCTATATTAAAGGTATTTAAGGTATTTTTAACTTAAATTATAGATTTGTTATCCTTACCATCATCAAATGGTGGTGAATTTATTTATTGAGGTGATAACCGTATTACCGAGGCCAAAATATATCCGGGATAGATCGAATCTGCTGATTGAATTTGATGATGTAGGTGTTAAACAACGATTCAGACATTAAACTAATGGCTAATAACAAAATAACAAAATGCGTTTTTTTTTTCTGGCTCAAAGATGCCAGAGTTTTATTACTTTACATTGTTCAAGTCTCGGTTAGAATATTAATCTATGGATTATCTGCTCGGGTAAGATAACTGTGGTTCAGGGTTATCAAATACAAATGGTTTAGTTCATCTGGTAATCATTGGTTATCGTTATGTTTGAATTTACAGATTTATTACAAATTTTTTTTGTGCATGCAACTTTTACATGTTACAGATCCATTATGATTTATACATGCGTCTATAAAATATGTTTACAAAACGTTTGTGCGACCCGGCATAAGTACGGGTATATATAACCTACGATGTTATCATCGGAACAAATCAATACGGTGACATTTTTGAAAAAAAAAAAAATCAACCGACCACCGAATAAAACGCGATCTTCTCGTATTGTTTCGATTAACATAATATTATTGTTGTACGCTAGTGCCAGCGGTTCGTCGTCGCAGCCATATTATTATATTATATTATATACTCGACGGACATTCTGGCGGACCCGCGCGGATTAAACGCGGAGCTTAATGAAGTGCAGCCTATTATTGCGGGGTATAATATTTAAGCCGCCGAGATTTAAAGTCGCCGCGGTGTGTTTTAATAACGACCCTCGCGACTGTCACACTACGCCACTATCCCCGACGCCATAGAAATGTATATAAACTAATATAATATATAAATTCCGGCGTAGAGACACGTTTATCGCGTTTATCTCCGTGCCGCAATATAGTATGTAGAACTCGGCCGTAATACGTGCACGCGTACGAAAATTCGCTCTGGAAAATCCTGCGGAGCCGTGGAACGGAGCCAGTGCAGAGCAGTGTCGGGCAAAAGTATATGTTTATAACAATATTATTATTATGCCCTTTGCCTATATCGCCCCCCCCCCTCACATTCACAATGTCCGCCATAGTCCCAAATCTGCAGGCTTTAAGTTTGTATTTCGTGCGGAACGGTGCGTGCACCGAACCGAACCAATCACCCGCGGCCCTTCTCCACCCTCTCCGCCACATCTCCTACAGAACAAATGCCTTTTGAACTTCAGTCACGGACGGGATTATTTTTAGTTTAATTAACTATTACAACTGCGTGTTGCCGTTGAACTATCCTGCAGGGACCGGATCGACTGCATTAATATATTTTTGAGCTTAACGGGATGTATTGGTTTTACTGTGGATATGGTACCCCCCCCCCCTCCTCTTCTATAAACGATATTTTTGATCAGTATAGACTTGCGCCGTTCGACGGATTGTTTTTCGAAATTGCCGATTGGTAAAATTACCAACAAATACAAGTAAAAAACAAACGAAAAATCGTTCGTCAATCCAGCTAAATCTCCACCGATCCAACGTTCAATTTTACCGATTTTCTTGGTTAATAATATTTCAGATCGGTTCATATTTGTTCTCTTTTTCCGTGATTAAATGTATGCTACAGATATGTAATGACGGCTACCCAGGTAGCGGTGGTTATAAGTTGGAGGTGAAAGTACAGATCGAAATTTCTTCTTCCATTACTTACCACTTAAAAAACCGTCCAAAACGTTTTACTGTACTCAGTACATACACCGATAATAAAAGCCTTGTGTGATATAATATTCTGCTTCTCTCCGCGGAATAAACAGAACGAATTTCAAATTAGACGTCACGTTGTTGAAAGATCATAATAAACAACTGAACGGTCCGTGACATCACTTATATCGAACGCTTCGCCATTGTCCCGGAATTTTATTGTCAGAAATATATACAGTAGGTACCTAAACACATTATACTATATTGACGCTTTGAATTTCTCCTTGTCTTTTCGTTTTATTTGGACCCGAGACAATTTCCCAGTCGTCCCGACGACGGCGTCTGCAAGTTTCGCCAATATAAATATTAAACTGTCGATTGAATTACGAAAGAGGTATACAGAGAAGTTTATTATTAGACGAAAAAAATATTCGAATCGAGCACTGTCGTGGCAACGGTACGTAGGTGTATACCTATTCACTGTCGCGGCAACGGTACGAAATACACCTACGTACCGTTACTATACGCACGAACGACTTGTCACCCGCCGATAATTCAATATAGAAATGCGCGTGCTTTAAGCGCGGGAAAAATTCGATTCCCAACTTTTACCTATAAAATCCATTCTTAAATCTATTTCACGGCATAAAAATGTATCTGCTGAACGCATGACATTATTGTATCGTGAAACCGCATGACAGTATAACAATTTGTTATTGTTGGTTAAATGAAACACATTTAATTAGGATAGCCATTTTTTATTTTTTTTTTTATGTTAATGATAATAATACTATACACATTTTCGTGCTCGTCGTACTCCCCGTTGTGCTAACAAGGGAGATGAGTACGAAAAGAATATTGAGATCGACGTTGTGTATAGGGAAATAATAATATTTAAGAAACAAAATACCTCGAGTGGATTTAAAAAAAAAAAAAAAAAACGCTAAGAACGCACATATTTTGTCCGTAAGAATTCGCTGGGGAGTTCATTAAAAAAAAAAAAAATAAAAAAAATATGGAATAAAATTATAGCAGCGAGTGTAGTGGAGTAGCGGACTGTTTCTTTTTTAACCACGCGAATATTTGAATAATAATAATAATAAAGAATCATATTTTCGTAAAGTTATTTTTTTTTTTTTCTGAATATTTCGAGTACACCGCGCATGGGTTCTTTTCAATACGAATTCAGCATTTTTTTTTTTTCTCTTTCGTGCCGATAAGCACACGCACAAACTACAAAAGAAACTATACTACGGCATATTATACCGCGGTGTGTTAGGCGGTTTTTTTCCCTCTTTAAGATGCTTATAAATTGAAATCGTGGTGTACCTACCTAACTATACCTACCACTATAATATACTTTATACCATTATACAATATATTATAGGCACGTAGGTACTATACATATATATTTACCGACCTTAGATTGGCACTAGGGTTTTTCACAATATACTCGCCGAGAAGGGCGCCGACCACTATATAGGCACTGCAGATATAACAATACCAACACGGTGCGGTTTCCCCTTTTGTCCGCGAGATAATATATACACAGAGACCATTAAAATTCGGTTGTCGTATGAAACCTGGTCCATATCGATGATGGTAACTATCGGATGTACAGCGTCCACGCCATAGGCTTATTAACTATAATAGACCACGTCATTGATGAGTGAATCGGACGATATCTATTAAACAAAAAGGTATAAATCCGAGAAAGAAAAAAAAAAAATTTATTTTTTGTTTTTGTCATGCAAAACAGTGTATATAATAGGTACAACTTTATAGATGGTCTATAATATTGTCTATTTTATATTTGTATTAATGATAATTC